TTTTTACCAAACTTTATATTCATTCCATCCCTATATTTCCAAAAACTGAAAGGTAAAATATCCACAAGACTCAATCAAATTGCAGACACCATTTCTAGGAAATCATTTGAATAATTTGACAATACAAGAATCTACATTTTACTCTCCTGTGTTTGGAGGGATAAAAGGTGCTGCAGCAGTAAACTGACCATAAAAGAACTGTTGTATTTGAAGTCTTTGTTTATGAGTGGTCAAGGAGCTGCTTCTTTATGTATTTAAAAAAAAAAGATTACGCAGACCAGCTTCCTCTATCCTGTGATCATATGGCCAGCTTATAATGAAAGCCACTGAATTTTCTCATGGAAAAAGAATGCTTTTGATCCCTTCCTCCATTAAACTGATAAAAGGGAAAGATTAAAACAATACAACCCCACTAAAAACAGGTGCCCTTAAACCAAAAAAGAACGATAAAATGATAGAGTACACTTTATTTCAGAGAATTCCTGGAAATTAAAATTCTTCAAACAGATGAAATTTTAAGCATCTATCAAACCACTAACACTGGTTGCTAATGACTCTAGCACTTAGGTGCACACAGTGGGGTCAAAGAGGCCCCATGATATAAATTCTGATCCTGGTCTAAGGCACCATAAATCCTATCTGATAATTTATAATCTACTTGATTGACTCTCATGATTGGGTGCAAATTTAGTAATAAGAGAACTGCACTGGAGGAGGAGGAAATGGTGTAAACTTGTTGACATGCTTGTCTAATATTGAAATTCTCACAAAAATCAAATACATGAACTGTATACTGGGAAATTTTTGACACACTTCCCCCTTTCATTTCCACCCCTTTTGCACTACTCACTTCCTGGGCAAATTTAAAACATAGCAAATTCAAAGAACACAATTAAATAAAAAACAAAAAAGAATTATGACTTGACTAATTTTAAACGACCGGGGCAATTATTTGCAAGTGTAACAGGGTGAAAATTAAATTTGGGGTGAAAATAACCCTGTATACAGTACTTGGTTTTGAAAATCACACATTATACACTGTTATATATACAGATTGTTCTCTCTGGTGGACAACCTATGAGATGCAAGATATTAAAAAAGTTTTTAAAAAATACCTTGCTTTACAATGCCTCCTATTAATTCTATTTAGTTAGAATTTCTCAGTTTATTATACACCATTATGCGATTCTTGCAGACATCTGCAACTTTATTTCTTGAACTTCTCTGAGACACAAAATGGATATACATGTATAGTCAAAGAAAATATCTAGGGAAAATAATGTGTGCTAATCTTTGAAGGCTGTGCAACTCTACATACATTACAAACTTTTACACATTTTGAAAAACATATGAAGCAGCACTTCTGTAACAAAGAGAAAACTGTCAGGAACAACAATGATAAACCTTTATCATATGTGGTGCCATTAAGAAATTTCCAGAAAAGTTCTCTCATGGGAGAGTGGGGAATAAAGCAGTACTCATTGTTTTACATATAACCTCAAGAGAGAGAGATGCTCCATGTGTGTTTGAGAGAGAGAGAGAGAGAAAATCAATCCCATTTTGCTTAGAACTTGATTGACAGATGTGACTGTCTACCAAAGATTGATTTAAACTGAAATACCCCATCATAAAGCAGAATTACAGCACCTTTCCATCATAAGAACTTGGTGATATATGTACTTCTTAACATGTTGGATTTATATAGTTTTCATCTCTGTCATGTCTAAAGGTTACCCCAAAAAATGTCAATAAAGCAAGAAAAACTTCTCAAAGCACCATAAAGCCAGCTGGAAACGTAAATTCACAATATGCCATTATGTTCCAAAAAGTGGGTTCTGAACTGCAACTTCAAATTGAAACACACTAAATGTATTACTCCTAACCGCTTTTGAATGGAAAATAAATTTGGATATCTCCGAAATGCTTGTCTATAAATACCCCTTTCTAGTTGTATATTAACATTGCAGTATAGATTTAAATGTTGTGGTGGATATAAAATCTAATGCAAATCATCACACAGATGCAAAATTTAAAAGTTCAATGCGTTGATTGTTCAAACATATTTCTTGACTCTCTGAGAACATTGCACTCATTTAAACATAAAAGCCTAAAAAAAATGATGGATCAGGCTCAAGAAGGTATCTTCTAAATATATACAATATACACTGTACTTATAGGCATTCTCCTTTTCCACAACATAGTTGAAAAGTGACTAACAAAATTCAATATCTCAGCTATCACATCAATAAATTAGAACCATTTGGGTAATATAATATAAAGTAACAAAATTAAGATTTTCAGCAAGCCTCAGTTTTGATTGCTAAGCTTGAAGACAGATATTCTCAAACATGAAAAGGCATATGTAAATTCAATTATCTCCTTTCAAAGCCCAAATGAGTGATCTTACATAATTTGAAAAATTGCATGTTCAGGTATTGTTAAATTATGGACTGAAAGTGATGAAAAGAGATTATACAAAGCTTCTTTAATCTGCAATGAGGGGAATTTATTTCAATGAAATTCAGTGATCTAGAAAACGTGCAACTGCAGGCCTCCATTCTTCACAACATATTTAGACAGATTCTGACAAGATTACTTCTCCGACGCAGCTAAAAAATGGTATCTAAAGCATATAATACCTGATAAATGTTATTTTGAAGATGTATAATACATTGCCTGCAATATCAGCTGAGGATTGGACAAAAAAGATGCCCGATTAAATCTCGAGGCATCATTCTGTAACATTTTAATCAATGCTTTACGTTGGAGCTCTCAAGATTTCTATCTGAACACTCTCTCTGATCATCTGTTTGTATGCAAAATTATCACTCACAATATATCTATTGTTGTGTTTTACTGCTAACCTTTAACAAGCAGAGAATGTGCATCCATGGTTTTTCTGTGTGCAATAACCTTCTTGCTCTTGGTGCAAAATGAGTTTTGAGCAGTAAGCAAATTTTTCAGAATTTCCTATTCAGCGAATATATAAATAGAAAGTAACAATGGAAACTTGTAACATGGTAACATCTGCATTAGAAGATTTTTATCAAATTCCATTCCTTTTCCATGCCAAAGTCTCATTAAACTGACAAAAGGCACAAGACAAATTACAATTATCCTGAAAAAAAAAAATGGGAATGAGAAACAAATACTGAACTGTTGCTGCCTCCCTAAACAACACAGACATTGTTATAGGGGGATCCTAACATACACAGAAAATTTATATCTTCTAACTGAACTTCAAATCATAAAGCTATCAAGATTATTAAACCACACAAAATTCTTATACATGTACACATATAATTCTTAGACCTTATTAGCAAACATTAATAAATATTGTAGTTACCAGGTATATCATAATACAGCAGAACTTCATCATTGCAGAACTTCATCATTATATGATTGTGTTGTCCACATTTTCAGTACAACACAGTGCATGTATAACTTTCATGAAAGATGTTTCAATTTAAAAGGTAATTCATTATTCATGACTTCAGTTAAACAAAATTGACTGTACAGTACTTATTTCTTATTACCTTGAGCCTATGGTATAGATAAAAAAAACTTGACAAACAGATTATCAAAAATAATTTTGTTTAAAAATCTATTTACCTAGAGACTTTTAGAAAATATTTAAAAGAATCTTTATTCAAATATTCAATGATGAAAAATATCACTGAGGATATTAAAAATGAAGATATGCATCAGTGCCACAATCCCACCATAGTACAGATAAGCAACAAGTCTACCAGATGTCAGAGAAGAAAATGAATGGTCAAGCTTGTCGGACACCGCCATTAAACGGTGAGGATGGGGGGTTACTGCCCTATAAATCCACCACCGTGGTATCCTAGCTTCATTATACGCCATTATAAATCACCATCATTTGTCAGGCTTTATGAGGTGACAAGATACTGTTTATTTTGCCTCTTGACTCTTTAGATTCATCATTTCTCTTGTTTGTTTGTTTTTTTTTAAAGAAGTATATACTTTTCCTGTATGATTTAAATTTTGTGCTTCACCATTAGATGGACAGGACTTACTGAGACCTTTAACACCAAAGGCCTTTCATCACAGATAATTGTTTCAGCCAATATTTGAATATGAATTTATTCCCCCCCCCTCCCCTGAATTTTGTGATCTTATTTAAGACATATTACATTTTAAGAATTAATTTACAAATTATATGGGCATACTCAATTTTTGACTGAGAAAAACTTGAAATGGATCATTAAAAAAATACACTGCATAACATTTAAAACCCTTTCTTCGATCATAAAACCTAAAAATTTTATGATCAAAAATCAACAAATTTTGCACTGCAAATCCTCAACAGATAAATCATTGCCCTCCAAAATTTCTAACCCCCCTGAAGTATTCTAGTCCCCCAATGATCAGAAAGATAGAACCGCTGATAAACTTAACGAACATCTACCATCATAAACCAACAGGTGCAAGGATTTGAACAACAGCAATATTTTGAAAATATGATGCATTTTTCATCTTTCATAGCATATAAACATGTCGTGTTGTAATAATTCCCACCACACTGTGTAAATTTTAATGAGTTTGTTTGGAGAGCTTTGCCAACATATGCAGTTAAGAAACAGCATCTCAAAACTGTAAAATCTCTCTCTGACTAAATTCCAAAGAATACATCTGTATCAGAAAGAGCATTTTTGTTACTTGTAATATTGCATGGTCACTGAAAGTGTCAGCATATCTGCATTCTTCACTGGCACAGATTTCATCCATTATTAAAAATACAACTCACAAACTGATGTAAAACATATTTATATAAAAAATAATTGCCAACTATTTCACTTCCTAATTTGATGTGGGACATACAAGAAAAACTGCCTCCTATTTCACTTTGTACTCTGTACATTAGAGCTGTTAATTTTCAAGAGTCCATATAAATGAAGAAATCTAATTCCTATTACAAGAAGATGAATGTCACCTCCCCCCTCCATGGGTGACCTTGACCCCACATGACCTACCTGTTCTGGCTTAAGTCCGGGTGGTACCCAGGCGTACTCCTCCAGCGGGCAGCCACTGTCATCGTCAGAGGTGGAGTTCCTCTTGGGGTCGTGATTTAGCCGGGTCAGACTCCTGTCATGGTCACTTTGACTGGTCATATCATGGGCTTCTGGGGCACATTTACAATGCTTGCAAATTTTTCTGTAAAAGAAAATTATTTCTTCGGCATATACATAATAACCCATGCATGCAAGAAAAGTGCTTTGTGATTGATATAGAACTAAGTTCACAAGATCACAGAATTCAAACTAAAACCTTTGAAAATCCCCTAAGGTTTTTTTCTGAAAGAAAAAAAGGGAAAATTTACCTGTGAATGTGACCTTTATCAACCTCTATATTAAACCATACGACTAAAAAATGTATCCCAGTACACTTGCAAACTTAATCTATATAATTATGACAGCAAGGGGTGCATAAAAGCAGTCTGCCCAGAAATTACACCAAGCAAAGCCAGTGACCTGTGACTTGTTAATGGTCAACAACTCATGCATGCCAACATAAAGCCGGAGCAGGTGCGAAAAAATACACATTCTGGCCAATTATTCGGACATTCACATACTAGCTTGATAACTACTGGTAACCTATATGTGGTATAAGAACAGAGGGATGTTTTGGTTTGTTCCCATCTCGCCTTAAAGGCCGGGGCCCGGATATAAAAGGCAGCCAATCGAAAAATGTTGGGGAAATTCAACTTTCTATGCAGCTTTCAGATTTGAGAAGCATTTTTGAGAAAATATGCTTTTTTTGATCATATTAAATTCTAATTTTTGGCATGGAAGCAGCCACCTTGATTGTGAATAAAGTGTCCATCTTTCATAGTTGAAAAAAAATTATATCTTGAGTAATTTAGGAATAAAGTTCTGAAGCTGCACTGAATTTTGAATTTCTTCTCAGTGATTGACAAAGTAGGCGGAGATAACCAGTGTTTTGTTTACACAGGAAGTGGCTGTAGCCATGTGCTGCAGCACATGCTCTGCGTGGTATTACTATACTATAAATAGTTTTCACTAGTGATTTTTATAATTTATAGAGAAAAAATGACTGAAAAACATTTTATTTTGTCAATGAATAGTAAATACACAGGTTTTGAAAAATAAACACACATGTACAGTTACTGTATTAATATTTTTTCATACAAACCTTAGGTGAACAAGTGATAAGATAGCTCAACTAATATATTTAAGTATATTCCAGTCACTTAATTATATGAAAATAAAATATTCACAAGTCAAAAGAAATATTTTAACACAGGTTTGAGTTCCTAATCACTCCCACATATGTCCCATGTATGGCTGATCATTGGGATTAGGTAGCCAATGTCTCACAACGGTCACAACACATTTTGGCATAAGGTCCCTCCTGTGATAAATGTAATTTTTTCTCCGCGGATCCTGTCGTAGGGCATTTCTTTTCTTCTGAATATATCTCGGATCCTTCCATACATTTCTATGGAACAACATAGTCCAGAATCTTTTGTATTTGTCCTTTCTCCTCTGAGAATTACTTCTGTTTGGTGCCTCCGGATCCTCTAACCACCACATTTGTCGGTTGGTTTCCGATGTTATGCATGGACGGCATAGACAATGGATACATTCCTCTTCTTCATCGTTCTGATTTATAACAAAATCAGCAACATCATCATTGTTCTGCTCCTCCTGGACCTGGTTTACATTGTCTTCAGTTGGAACCTCATTGAATTCCCACTCATGGTGTGCAAATAGATGGCGTATTGTTTCTCTCTGAGTTTCTGTTACTTCAATAGCTAAAATAGATTTCTCTTCTGTTTCCTCCATGTTGTGCTCAGCAAATGCCAAGATGGCTACACATTTACACATGTAACACTGGAAAGCCCAACCATTTCAAAAGGACCATACGGGATACATTTAATACTTACATGCAGAAAGAGAAACAAACCACATATGTGTGCATAGAGCTGCACAAATGTATTATAATGTTTAACATACTCTTCATTATCATTATTTTTTAATTAAAATGTTTTAAGATAGATAAATTTTAAAAAGAACTTTATTAGGAAACCCTAATGTGCCTCTGCATCTCTGCAGTGAAAGGTCAGATTATGTCATTGTCAGATGCTAGATCAGGATTTTGGCGGGGAAGTGCTAACTACAGATAGGATTAGGTGTCAAGTCTGACCATTTTTATGTGAGGGGTGTCAAGATTGCATATACATAGCTTCTTGGATGTAGATATCTAAAAATTAAGTTGTTTTTTTTTTAAATGTTAAAAAAAAAATACAGGCTTTTTATAAAGTGTTCATATATGCAATTCAGCATCATTTGTTGAGTTAAAGAAAAAAATTATGCATGTTTGTAAACCAACGCCCCTTTATAAAGAATAATAGTATATTCCAAGAATTAGTATCTTGTACATTTATTTGTAAAAACCAAAAACCTCAAAACAAAGATAGCGAATGAAAGTGAATATGTCTAGTCCACCGAAAAAACGAAAGAGAACACCAAGTTTCAGAATTGAATTATCGGGAGATGAAAGTAAGAAAACCAGTGTTTTGGAAAATTTGCAAAAACTAAGGAGTGAATTAGAGGGCAAACTGAACAAACATGTTGGAAATCTACAAGTCATTGAATATCTCTTTTCTCTTTGGAGTGAGAAAAGAAATGAGGAACACGACATCCAAAATGATGTTGCACAGTCTGCCCAAGAAAAATCTCCAGCTCCTAGTCCTTACATAAAAGTTCAGAAAAAGGATGTAAATCAAAAACTCTTCTTGTGTGCTGAAGAATCTTTGAGGAGACTGGTGGAAATTGCAGAATACCATGGTCAAAATTGTTCGAGGAATTTAAAAATGAAGAAAGTGCTACAAAGAGGACATGTAATGTCAACCAAATTTCAATGCGAGGAAGAGGGGTGTAAGCATACGTTTCTGTGGTCATCATCTCCTTATTTGCCCAATAATGAATATTTGGTAAATAACCGTGTCAACCATTCTTTATTATGCAGCGGGATGCTTCCATCACACTACACTAGATTTGCCGATGGAGCAGGTATTGGAAAAATATCAAAACAGGATAGGCAAAAGTTTTTTAATCAATCTAAAAAACACATTCAAAAGGAGTATGAAGACTCCATCTACACAGCAACTCTGGAGGAAGTGGCATCATATGAAGATCTCGAAAGTATAAATATAATGACTGATGCACGACATGGCTGGCGCAAAAATGCCAAAGATTCCAGTGTAGTTGCTATTGGGGACAATACGCACAAAGTTTTATCATGTCAACACATAACAAAATCTGATGATCAAGTGTCACAATGGCATGAAAAACTCGGAACGGAAAGAATATACCAACATTTGAAAGATCAAAATGTAGCTGTAGGAATTCATACTCATGACAGGAATCTGTCGATTAATAAATATATCCGTGAGGAATGTGAGTCTACAAATCAAAATGACACCTGGCATGCAGTCAAATCAGTTAAGTCCTCTTTGAAAAAAGTATCTTCTGGGCCAGCATATCTTGAGGGGAAAACCTGGTCATCTCAACTTGATGACAAAGTGGAGCCAGTGTGCACTCACTTTCACTGGGCCATTAGAAACTGTGATGAAGATACCGCAAAACTTCAAGCACATCTATTGAACATAGTAGAACATTACAAGAACAATCACTCAAATTGTCATTCGTCCTCCAGGTGCAAAATGGATCCTAACTATGAAATATCTCGGAAAGTTATTTCTAACCCGTGTGCCGAGAAGTTATTGCTAGGAGTCGTAAAAAATTCTATTGTTTATAAGCATCCACAGGATTACATTTTATGTCATGATACATTTTATGTTGAAAGCTTCAACAATGTCATGAATGTATACCAGGACAAAAGAATATCATTTTCTGACGACATGTACAGAGCAAGATCCAATTTGGCCGTATGTCATTGGAATGAAAACGTGGACAGAGATTATACATCTGTTTGGAGACCAAACCACCGAATGCCAAGAAGTGCTAAGGGTAAAAAGAACTACAAAAAATTAACTTTCTCATTTAGGAAAAATATTTGGACACGATATGTGAAGAGTGTCTTCAAAGCTAAAAGAAGAAACTGATGTTATTGATTTTATTTGAAGGAGACGTGTAAATATCCCAAATTGTAAGAACTTTAAATCAAACTCCATTATTTACATGTAATTAGTTTGAAACTTTTGTCCTGATTATCTGCAAAATCTTAACTGTTTATACACTGCATTTATGTGTTAATAAGTAAATGTTGTATACTTAATTAAACTTGAATAATTAGAGATTTGCAGTACACGCAGATTTTACTTCTTTATTTATATTTACACACAAAATGAAATGGAATTCCCACTGTTGGTTATTTGTAAACAAAGCTGACTCAGCTCAGTGCAGTTCTTATCAGCAGCCCTGACAGTGATGGAGATAAGCACCGCCTATTTTACCAGGTGGCAAAAAATCTAGGTCGCCCCCGGCCTTTAACTGTAAAATTTAGCATTCCCATTTCGCCTTAGTAAGCTCTCAGGTGAATTAAGGTGATGAAGATTTAATATATTTAGCATAAAGTATTTTTTTAAAAAATACTTGGTATTACATCTATTATTTCATTCACTGTATTCATGAATTCCTGTTAACTGGTAAATTCAATCTAAAATTTTTTATCATTTAAATTTTTATTTCAACCCAGTGATAATATCTACAAATACTAAAATTCCCATTTCGCCTTAGTACTTTTAAACTTTTTCTTACCCGAATTACACAGTTAAGGCGAAATGGGAACACACCGATGTTTTGAGACACAACAATGAGTGATGCTATATGTTTCTGTTGTTTCCTAGCCAGGTGTTAATGAGCATAGCATTTACCTCAGACACAGGGGAAAATTACACTAATTATGACATTATACCTCGATATCAAGTGCTCTGGCACACATCTATGCACATAATTACTTCAATAACATCATGATCCTTAAATATGCTCAAAGAACATCATCTTCTATTTTTGTTTTTTTTTAAATAAAAATAAAATTTAAAGTTCTGATTCATCTTCATTTTATTCTGAACCTAATGCAAATGCACTTTTATATGAATTTCTCACTGCATTAAATCAGGAAGAAAAGAAATTTAGAAAGCAATTTAAAAGCCATTTTCACACTCT